CTCAGCGCTTTCAGCAATATGATGTGGCGCTGTGTGGTGTTGCGGAATGTTTGCTCGACGCCACGACAGAAGTAACACGCGGCCGACCTTGACCTCCCGCCGCGCGCCGCTCAGTCGGTACCTCTGGCGCTCTCCTCACTCATCTCACTCGACAGACTCTCCACTGGCCGTGACGAGGACACACGTTATTGAATTATCTTCTCTCTCCTTATGTGCAAGCGAGTAGGTACCTATTTGATTTGCAGGGAGACTAACTCAGTGTTGGTTTCAATATTGTACTCAAATCGAGTTTGTTCGTCAGTGTCTATCTAGACATCTCTATCTAGACTCCTAATAGTCGCCCTGGCTCGGCTTTATCCCTCGCAGCGGCTTGTTGCCGCGTGTGCCTGTGACTGGCGGCCGCGCGGCCGAATGTTCAGTGATTTATATTCATTACGGAGTACACGGCGCGCCTCCCTCGCGCCTGTACAGGCGGCACGACCACGCTGTTCCTGCTTAGGTATCTCATAAACCGATCACGTATGCTTTGTTTTTTTCAATCGAAATCTAGAACAAATTAAGAATTGCAGAACATGTTGCGCCATTCATATTGATACGTATATAAATTAAGGCCAGGAACGAATTCAATAAAAGGCTGAAGCAATCAGCCTTGTGACTCTTGTGACATGTTCGAATTTGGTGAAGTGATTGGCTGCTACAGCATTATGCTGGGACACAGAGTGCGCCCTGACGTATGGCGTACATACATACATAACTATAGACACACACACACACACATTGTTTTCCCCGCGTCTTTATAACTGACGCTGCATCTGCCTACGCTGACATTCACCTCACGTACCTGTGTGCGGAGCCTCGCTTATGTTCGTAGGTTATACATTAACTTTTTACTGATTAATTGCTCTTAGTTGAACCAACGCTAGCCGATATAAGTTTTGGAATAAATTACCGTTCGCAACATTTGAATTCACGACATTAAGAATAGATTCAAAGATTAATTTACAATATTAATGAAACGTGACCTCGAGTCCGATGTTATCAGTTAGTGTTTGTGGAGATAGGTAAAATAGTAAAATTAACATGAAATGTCACAATCGATGTCAAATTTAACGAACAAGTGTGGACTCTCTGTCCACAACTAGCGAAGTTACACACAGCTAAGTTGCCCCGAGTCCCTGCAGCACGCCGCGTTACTCCAGCACCACAAACACAACTTGCAGACTTTGTTCCTGATCCCTGTTATGTAGTAACCAACCACGTCAGCTGCACGGCGAGTGATCGCGGCGTGTTGTTGTTTTCTTTCGAGTTGGTAAGAAACAATGGAAGTTTACACTAGATGAGGCCGTGCGCTAGTCAAGGCAAGTTGTTTACATGTAGAGGGCTGGATGCGCTGTCCCAGCGAGTGCTGGTCCTCAGTCCCGCGGTGGCGGCGTCACATCCCTCGCATTGCACTCGCGCGCGACGAGAGCACGCGCCTCACGTGCCGGCGTGCGACCCGCGCGCCCGCCCCACTCACACTGTCACTGCCGCCGAATGCCGCCCGCCCAAACGAGAGGGAAATCATCCCCTACCGTGCGCTATCTCGCTCACACCGCTCACTCGAGATATGTTTGTTTCACGTGACTTTTCCCGGCGCGTAGTGAATGTCGCCTTGTTTCATTGACGCTCGGCTCGAAGCAAACGAATGTTTTTTCACGGTTGCAAGTATCGTCGCGCCGCCTGCCTGCACTGGTGCTGAGCACCGAGCACTGCCGCTGCAGGCAGCTCGCTGGCGCCCAGCAGTAACCAGCGACTAATGTCTCATCAGGTGTAGTTTATTATACGGACCTTGTGGAATGTAGAACAGATTTCCGTGCGTTAAGGCGTTTTTGCCATACCTACCTACTATTGGAAACAACTTTAGCAGCTCACACATAAGTCCCATTACAATAACAATATAAAATTTTCCATGATGTTTAGTGACTAGGCTTCTCCCAGTTGTACAGTCTCTTCTGTGCCTTTAGGACCTAAGTCATTCAGTCTCCTGCATCACATTTGCAAGAAACTATTTCGTTTTTTTTTTCTCAAATAATATCTTCTGATTTATTTCGTTGCGGGATCCAAGACAGTCATTCATGTCCCTGGGACGTGCCTATACCTTGACTTCAGTGTTCCGGTGTTTTCGTGATTGTATCTACTATAGATCCTGGCTTACAGGAGTTGGAGCGGTTTTGGGGGCGGGCTTGTGTCAATAAAAAAAGTTTCCTGCTATTACACTCTCCTACTTATATCAAATTTACAGACAAAGTATTTTTCCAAAGCCCATATCATTTCATGCTCAGTAATTGGAAACGCTCACAACGCGGCAGTCATCACAGGTCGCTCGCACCGAAACATTCGGCAAATTACAATAACTTCATAATCTGCTGATTCTTTACTTTGTCTTCACGTAGAAGTTTCATTTTGTTACAGCTCAAATGTATAATATACGCGTCAGTATAATATATAATCTAAAAGATTGGATATTATTTTTATATGTAAAAATAGTTTTTCCGCATTTTTTTATCTGTGAATTAGCCAGATCTCTGAGTATACGTGAATTTGCATAAATGTATGTATCATTTGACAACGAATTAATACGGTTCCATTAGTACATACGGGGTGTAACTGTTTGTAGCTATATTATTATATTTTCTATTCTACAAATGTAAGTATTTTGCAAAGATTACCATAGCTTAGCGACTTATTCTGGTGTTAGGAACGCGTACGTGTGCATCTACCCGTACATCTAGCACCGCGCCGCAGCGCCGTCAGCTCGTCTAAACGTGTGCCTAATTTAACGTTTGGCTGGATATCCACCTGTATCTATCTGATAGCATCGCTCGTTATGTGGGACGGCGACTACGCCATCACTGTTGCTCTCGCGGCAGAAGGTGCACTCACATACGATGTCAGCATACTTCGAGTCGCTATCGTTAAGCCTCAAATCAACTCAAACCATTAAATACATGTCGAAGATATCTCAAACAGCATACCGCAGGTACTACAATATGTAGTGCCGACAGTCGCGAGTCGCAGTGCACCTTCTGCTCACTACGTTGCGTGTGTGACTTTATAGAGTGATACACAGCTGTTTGATGCCAGGCCTTACCTACATGTGGACTTCTGGAGACCTGCCCAGACACAAATTGCCCTGTATTGCCTTACCTACTACCTTTACTAGGGTATTGTTACCACAGACCCATTACTTAGCATTACAGTGCTTGTACCCCGGGGTGCGCGGGGAGTACTTCATATCTTTCCAGCGCTGGCGAGTAAAGAGACTTGGAGGACTTACCTGGAATAGAAACATACGAATTAGCGATGATATTACAACGTAATAATAAGGAAACATTCGGTAGGTATGTGTGCAGATGAAAGAAATATACTAAGTACAATTTCTAGACTTACATAATGTGGCAGACGTCGATGAAGTAGCAACATTACAATACCCGCCACCCACACTGACAAGCTGTTAACAGGTACAACTACAGAGAAGAGTTAGTATTTGATAACAATTGAATGGGAAAATGAAAGACAGGGAAACCACGTGAAGCCGGCACCCAAGCAAATGGGAGCAGGTCCAGGGAGCAGGCATTCTGTGTCTAGGAACAGCAACAACATTCGACTTACTCATGATTGCTAATAATATAGAAAACGCGTACATCCCGCACTTTTCATAAAACAGTCAAGAGAACCACTTTTTCGTGAGAGGAAAAAATCATTGAATGACTCGTCTCGCCCAACGTGAGGCGCGAGGAAGTGTTAGAATCTTACTAACTAAGCCCCGCGTGCCTTCTTCTGCTTTAGGTCGTAGAACATCTGTCTGTGGTTGACTATTATTAAACTACGAACTACTAAACTGACGAACAGACGGTCAGACTACTTCCCTATTTTGACGTTTCAAAAGTACCTATTTATGGTTTAGTTGGAATAAATGATTTTGACTTTGACTATTAAAAATAATCTTTCAGTAGATACTCAAGTAACGAATCTAAATTTTCAAGTAATTAAGGTCGAGTCCAATATGAGCACTAGAGTGTAGTCGGGGCAGTGCAGGCGGGCCGAACGACGAGAGGCCGCGGGCGGAGCCGCACTGCGCTCTAACCTCGCCAGTTCAGAGCCAAACCTATCAGTAATCTTTATACTGGTCAATATTTATTTTAGACATTTTTCTATAGGTATCCTCCTAAATATTCAGACTTCATAATACGAGACAATCGAACTATTGAGCATCCATAGTTATTGAGAACAATTATTTTAGTGGTTCAATAGGTCAGTCCCTCTTGTACCGAACGTCGCTGGATCCCCATGAGGCTACACTCCTGTCGCACTGTTGGCTCTCAGCACCGACGGAAGACGCAATACCTTGGCACACTGGCAACATTAAGCAATCCATCGACAGCAGTAGTAGCAACGGTAAAATAGTCTGTATGTCCCAATAGGTACCGTGCGGGCGAGTCGCGAGCTGAGTCACCGCTCTGACTGTAGACTCGACTAGTGAGTGCAGTAGGCCCGCTGGGCTGCGATGGCCCGAGGTGTGGGCGGGGGCCCACAAATGAGTGTGAGTGCAGGCGCCGCGCTGATTAGTGCGCGTCCCGGCGCCGCCCGCCTATTGTTTGTTATTCCAGTTTTTTCGTGTTCCCGCGCGGCTTTCAGTTAAGTAGGCCGTGTCCCTTGCAGGCGCCCTACTTACTGGGCGACGCTGGAAGTGAACAAGCTAACAATTACTTACCGTGGCGCATAGGTAATTCGTAACTTGTCGTGTATTATGATATACACAACTCGAGCAGCTGAATGTCAGCAACGTTGTGTGTGGTCAATTAACCGACAACTCGCAATATTCTCTACTGTTTGTTAACTTTTAAGTAAGTTTTTCTACCGTTATATAAACAACTGTCTGTGACGGCGCGACAGCTACGTGTTTCCCTATTCCTCCATTAACTCCATAGTCACAGAATGAAGTCATGAGATATGCCAACTCACATCATCACTAAATGACAAGATGCATTTCAAAGGTAATTGTTATTGGATTATTGTTTTCTGTGTCGAAGCTCCGTGCCTTAGCATTGGCAGGAACACAACAAGCAATCTTAAAGGAAGACGTGTCATTAGCTCGTGCTGGGCGTGTTAGTCGGAACCCGTGCAGTGTTAGTTGTACGTTAGCTACCATCTACCGAACACACGGCTCGCTGCAAGGCACGTATTTAGTTGTCTTAAATACACAGCTTGCAGAAACAATCGAGATTCTGCTGTTATATGAACGAAGCTCATGGGAGGTTTCGTATAATACTAATGACGCAGCGGCGCAGCGTAGTTATAGTTTATTTGTAAAGTGTGGAAATGATATAGTTTAATACGAAACCGGCCAAGTATAGACTAGAGTGCAGACATACGATATATTAGTGAATGAAACGAGGTGTTAGTGTCCCAAACATTTATTTCCCACAACCAAACAGTAAGAGCGTCACACGAGCAGACATAGTGCTGGCTATGGACAATGGAGCAGCGGGTACAGGCGGTACTGTCGGGGAGCGAGTGCCAGGCTACCGGCGGGGGCGCGCAGCGTGGCACTCGCTCCGACGAGGGACTCCCACACTCCCACTCACCGCTGTGCACGCTGTCCGCCGAGCTGCGCCGCTCGAGGGGCGCGGCGGGGGGCGCGGCGGGGGGCGCGGCGGGGGGCGCGGCGGGGGGCGCGGCGTCGGGCGCGCGCAGCTTGTGCCAGAGGTCGCGCAGGCGCAGCGCGGGGTCGCGCACGTGCGGCGCCACGGTCTGGCGCGCGGCGGCGCACTGGCGCTCCAGGTTGGTGTAGTTCTCCAGCACCTCGCGCACCCAGTGCGAGCGCTCGCCCGCCGCCGCCTGCAAACAGCCGCGTCACTATGCGCCCGCGCCGCGGGGGGCGCGCCCGAGGGATACTCACGGCGATGTCGGCGGCGGGGGCGCCGGCGGCCTGGCGCGCGGCCAGCTCGGTGGCCCAGGCGAGGGCGGCGTCGAGGCCGGCGCAGTACTTGCTGAGCGCGTGCAGCTTGGCGTCGATGTACTGGCCGTGCTCCGCCAGACTGGCCTGCGCCTGCACAGCGGACGTCGTTACCGGGCGCCGCCACGGGGCACTGCGCGCCGCCCGGCGGTACTGACCTGCTGTAACTGCTCCTGCAGCTGGGCGGCGTCCCCGGGGGGCAGAGCCCCGGCCTGGCGCAGCACCTCCATCTCCCGCAGCTTGCTGGCCAGCTCCTCCTCGCGGGCCTGCGCACCAACAGAGACCAACAAGTTAGCAATGTCAACTGGCTACATAAAACATTTTTTTTTTAATAATAAAACTTATTTTAACTTAGTACAAACGTTCTACAAAGGTTCTGAGTCATTTATGTTCAAGAAATTCATTTATTCAATTGAAGTTACTTTCATTCAACCATACAATCATTCACTTTCATTTTAAACATTTTGAGATTGATTTTTTATGTACTAGGCAATTTATTTAATAATTGATTCACAGAAAAGAAATTCTAAGTCATAGGAAAAAAACTAATTTGTTTTCCTAATAGATATATTCGCGGGGCCAGCGAGGTCAATTATCTCGGAGTACACATAGACCAGAGTCTAAGTTGGCATACGCACATTGACGTAATCTCAAGCAAGACACGCAGGTACATCATTATTTTTAAAAATTACGTGCTTCTTCTGATACGAAAACCATAAAATGCTTTACCTAGCCCTGTGCACGTCAATCCTATCCTACTGCATACCCGTATGGAGTCGTGCTGAGGGAAGTGCTTTCATTAGTTTAGAGCGCGCGCCACGGGCTGTCCTGAACGTCATGTATCCACCGCCTTACTGTGCTAAGCTCTGTTTTCCGTAAACACTCGTGCCGACCTCTCTATCCTCCCAATCACACCTGTGATACAGGTATTTGCCTAGTACAGACAGAGGCCAGAGCTTTTACAAGTGTTTGTGATACTGAATGTTTGTGTTGTACATGTTTTGTATTTCTATACCTCTTTGAGCAATAACGATTGTATTATTATTGTCATCGCAAAAAAAATGAAGTAGGTACTAAAACAATCGGTGCTGTCACTTAACAAACATTTATTTTAACCTGAACTTGGGTATAAATTTACTAGGATGTAATTACATTTAGTGCTAGTATCCGCATTTTATTTGTTTTTCATAAAAAGGTTACATATTTCCTACTAGTCAACCATAATAGATAAAACATATACTGTTATGAGATATTTTGTATAGGTATAATTTTATGTAGGTCATTCCCGTGATACATGATTTATATGCAACTTAAACTATAAAGGTTGCACACGCGACGGAAGCTAAAAAAAATTGAGTTACTTCTTCCGTTTTCACAACATTCCCCTTCACTGATCTGCTCCTATTAATTGTAGCGTGTTCATCACGCTATATAACCAGCCCAGGAATATAAAGAATATTTATTCCAAGTTTCGTCAAAATCTGTCGAGTAGTTTTTGTTTCTATAAGGAACATACAGACAGACAAAATTTTTACTGATTACATTTTTGGCGTCAATATCGATCACTAATCACCCCCTGACAGACTTATTTTGAAAATATATTTAATGTACACGTACAGAATTGATCTCTCTATACATTTATTATAAGTATAGATAAATGTATTATTCACTGTTTAACAGAAGTCTAATAGTCTGTCAGTTCGCGCAGCTGTACCGGAACCATGAATTACTTTTATTTGTAAGCAATACAACATAAAGCGCACACGCTAGTAACACATTTCATATACCTCAATATTTATTAAACAATAATATTAAACACCCGACGTACGTTTATTGCCAAATACTTCAGACACAGGCTCCCCTATTCACCAATATTGGGAACTGTACGGTCACTGGGCGGTCGCTGTACGGTGAGTGTCCGGTCAGCGGTCAGTACGCGGTCGGTAGGTAGTCAGTACGCGGTCAGTACGCGGTCAGTATGAATGAGTATAGGTAGTGAGCGGTCGTGGGTACATGAGTGTTGGCGACGCTCGCTCGCGGAAGTGCTCACCGGGAAACTAAGCTCGCATCGCAAGCACACTGTATTTCATTTCATTTCATTACGATATAAACCTGGCGAGGCGAGGAGGGCACCCATGCAACCATAAATACACATTGCTGCACTTAAAACTAGATCTATATTGGGATGAGTTTAACACGACTCTTACGTCCTTACGCAACTCGGGTGCCAACAAGATGGGACACGAATATTTTCATAGATTCAGAAATAGCCCCGATGACGCCGCGACGCGCCGCGCTCCGCTATCACGCGACTTCCTTATAGAGACGAGCTTTGCATACGTTCGCTGTGTACTATCTATGGCCGTAGTAGTAGCGACCACAGACAGAGGTTGCTAAATTTCGAGTAAGAGAATATGTTGACTTGCAGCGGTAGTCCCGGTTACAGATTACATCCAGATCCCGGCTCCAGTGCAGCGTGCAGCGTGCAACGTGTCGCGTGCATACAGTGCGCACTATCAGCTATATATAGCCGACCAGTACATTGCGCGCTATATATAGCGCACTGCTACACTCAGTCCGCGCTGCCGCTATGTCCCGCTGTATACTACCGCGCGCATTTACAACATTTTACCGTATTACTAAACGTCAACAACGCGTCACGGAGGAGCACTTTATTTGCAAAAATAATCCCAACTGCTTACATTTTTAAATAGTTGCCTTTCTCAACTTGGTATCTGACCATACGATAAAGTATTATTACTAAACAACTTTTAAAACTCTGCTTAGCATAACAATTTTTAAATGTTTACAATATATATGTTACCGGCCATACCCGACGGCTAACCTACCTCTCCCTAAGCACGATAGGACGATTATTGAATCATGCCATCCCACTCTGACGTCTAATCATACGAATTGTTCATGTGTGCATCGGTGTGCCGTTTTTGAAAATCGAATGCTGTTTATGTAACCTATCTACACCATTTTACTTATAATATCATTGTTGTGGGCGGTCAGACGGAGGCTTTTGGCATTACCGCCCAGCTCGGGATCCTAAATTATGCTGAGTTATTTTTTGAGCAGCCAAGTAATTCGATAAGTAGCTAAGTAGGAGTGGAGCGGTACCTTGACGAGGCTGTGTCGCACGGCGAGGCAGGTCCTGTCGGCCGGGTTGGCGCGGGTGCCGGCCAGTAGCTAAGTAGGAGTGGAGCGGTACCTTGACGAGGCTGTGTCGCACGGCGAGGCAGGTCCTGTCGGCCGGGTTGGCGCGGGTGCCGGCCAGTAGCTAAGTAGGAGTGGAGCGGTACCTTGACGAGGCTGTGTCGCACGGCGAGGCAGGTCCTGTCGGCCGGGTTGGCGCGGGTGCCGGCCAGTAGTTCCTCCACGTGCCTCAGGGCGGCGCGCGCCCCCGCGCTCCACTGCGTGGCGTCCTGGGTACTGTCCTGTGTCTTGGTCAGGGTGTCGTTCTGCTTGTTATCCTGCGTGCTGTCTTCCGCGTTGTCCTGCGTCAGCACGTCGCTATTTGTCTGCATGTTGTTTTCTTCTATCTCCATGCTAAATGAACAGAAATATTTGATTAAAAATGTATAAGTTTTAACGTGATTTTCATAAAAATGCTACGTTTTACGTTTCCCTTATTATGATGTTAGACAACAAGGGTTGACGATTAATATAATGTTGAGTGTAACGAGTGTGTTATGTTATGTATGTATTTGGTAAAAACTTTTATAAGAGAGAAGTTGTTTGTAGTGGGTGCAGAGCAGTTGAGGCGCGTGTGTGTCCGTACGTACAGATGCAGCGCGGCGGTGAGTGCGTGCGCGCGGTCGGCCAGCAGGTGCAGCTGGTCGTGCACGTGCTGCGCCAGCGGCGGCGCGCAGCCCGCCAGCACGGCGCGCCCCGCCGCCCGCGCCGCGCCCAGCCCCGCCGCGCGCTCCGCCCGCTCGCCGCGCAGCGCGGCCAGCAGGCGCGCGCGCTGGCCGGGCGGCGCGGCGCGGGCCTCGTCGAGGCGGCGCTCGGCGCGCTCGAGCCAGTCGCCGCCCTGCTCCAGCAGCGCGTACAGCCGCGCCCACTCCGCCTGGCACGCGCTCCACCTGCGCGGGGCCGGACCTCACTACGTGTGCAATACTCATACTATTCCCTAACAAACTAATGTACCCCGGCATTTCAAAATAAAAAAACGGCATACGGCACTCAAAAACATTACAAAGCAATTAAAAAAATTACCCCCAAATTTTCCCTCTTGTATAATACTTATTAGTGTAAAATAGAAAAAATAAAACCAATATTCTACTTTTACCATGCTACAACACACCTCTGCTTTTCACAATTTAAAACGATATATTCAAGTTCTTCATCAGTCATCCAGATAAACCAAACATCAAGCCAATCGGAACCATCCACATCATTGTTCAGGAAGATTGTGTCTCGAGGTAATGCCAGTACATTGGAAGAAATGCTCCGCAAGCAGAAAGTAACTTCAAGGCTTTATCTCGAGCTATCAGAAACGTGCGTATAGAGAACCTCTCCGGGAAATGGAAATTCGAAGATTTGCTCAAAACCATTCAAGTAATTTATACCAATTGGTCATGGAAAATAATAGTGAGATATACTCGGAAGATAAGGAGCATGAACAGGAATATATTATTCAAGGACTTATTCTAAAGAGCAGTCCACAGCAACAAATCCATCCCAAACACCCAGAAGATGCAGTTATTAAAAACTAAACTGAAGGGCGAAATAGAAAGAATCATCCAGCACCTCGATATCAGTTCTGAAAATTATCAAGTTTCCTGGGACATATTGAATCATAGGTATGACAATAACCGGCTAAGTTTCACCTCTCACATGAACATACTAGTCAATGCATACAGTGTAAAACCAAGTTGACACACAGATCAAGATTACGTTCGACACTCTCCGTAACACATCTTGGGATAGATGTAACAGTCATGGCGCCAATGGTGGTGTATTTACTTACACTGAAGCACTCGGACGCTTAGTGAGTCATTACACAATCCAAGAGCCTTGTCTGTTCTAGCAGACTTTCTCAAACAATCAATATCGAATAATTTCAACCGCAAAATGTACTCTAATAAACCATTTTTAAGTAGTTCGGCTATAAAAAGACCACTATCCCATGCGAACAAAGTCGCGGACAAAAGCTAGTAGATAAATAAATAAAGAAGCTTTTCGTCCTGAATTTTTTTTACGCGTTTATTTATCTGTTTTAGAGAATATCTCTTAATTCAGTGTGCCTATTGGCAAAAACATATTCTAACATTTTCCACTGTGTTCTCTCCTGTGACAACCCTTATTCAGAGAGGGCCATGGTGCACAAAACCTACAGGTTAGTTTTAACTTCGATTCGAACCGTACCAGTAACATAACAGATGTCACGAAGGAATATCGCATGATGTTTATGTGCTTAACCATCGTGTGATGCATGTACTAGAGTGTAGTGGTGTATGCGCGGCAGTTACCGGTCGTGTCGCTGGCGGTAGGCGTCGTGCAGCGCGGCCCACTCGGCGCGCAGCTTGTCCAGCAGGCGCAGCGCGCGCGGCGCGGCCGGGCCCGCGCGGCCCGCGTGCCACGCCAGCTCGCGCTCCGCGTCCGCCACGCGCGGCGCCGCCGAGCCCAGGCCGGCGCGCACGCGGGCCAGCGCGTCCTCCTGCAGCGGGAACTCGTCGTAGTCGCGGCCGCCCAGCGGCGGCGCGCGCAGCATGGCGCCCAGCGCCGCCACGGCCTCGCGCGCGCGGTTGGCGCGCGTCACGTGCTCGGGCCCGGCGGGCGGCGCGCGCGCCAGCAGCGCCGCCAGCGCCCGCTCGGGGAGCCCCACGTGCTCCGCGCGCAGCTCCCGCGCCAGCTCCGCCGCGCGCTCCAGCTGCGCCTCGCGCGCGCCCTGCTCGGCGCCATCCTGCGCGTCGCCGTCGCCGGCGGGCCACGCCTGCGCCTCCTCCAATATCTTGTTCAGCTCCTTCAGATTATCCTCCGCCCGTAGCGCCAGATTGCGTTTCAATTCGATCTCCGACATCACCATCGACCATTTGTTCCGCAACTTATCCTGTAGCGTGAACGTGTCCATTTAGCGTTTAATATCAAAAATGAAATAACCGACCGAGAAACAGTACAGTAGTGACATATACCTGGAAGTGAGTCTGGATGTAGTCGGCCAGCAGCGGGTTGTCCTTGTGCTTGGCGTAGACGAGCGAGTCTCCCTGCGAGATGAGCGCGGCGGCGTCGGGCGCGAGCTGCCCCAGCTGGTGCTTGAGTATCTCGAGGCGCTTGGCGGGGTCCCGCTCGGCGGCCACGCCGCCCACGGTGAGCAGCATGACGTCCATGCGGCGCAGCAGGGCGCGCGCGGCGGCCTCCCAGCGCAGCGCGCCGGCGTCGGCCGCGCTGCCCCAGCGCGCGCGCAGCTCCGACTGCGCCGGGTCCGCCTCCCCGTCGCACTTGCTGGCATCGTCCCCGGCCGCCGCGACTGGCGACTCGTCTGCCGACTTAGGTGTCTGATCACCTGCTAAGTTGGGCGATTTGTCGTCTAACAATTTGCCAGACTCGTCGTCTGTTGATGTAGGCTGATCGCCCGATAATTTGGGCGACTGATCGTCGGACACTATAGACGACTCCCGGATCCCATCACCGATGATTTCGGGCGATTGATCACCGGGCAACTTCGGCGACTGGCCACCCGTGGGCGTCGGCGACCGGTCCCCCGTCGGTCTGGGCAAGTGGTCGCCGACCAGCTTGGGCGACATGGCCACCACTTGCACCGACTGCTTGCTGCGCTCCTCTTGCTTGATCGGAGTCGACGTCGACAACGGCGCCTTGTCGTCGAACTCGCTACACGACGTCGGGCGTAACTGCACAAAGAGACACAAAGGGATGAAGCGATCCACCAAGACACAGCACAGAGACACAAGCTGACAGAAGACGGGCGGAGGGTACGTACGGGCGCCGCGCTGGGCAGTACCTGGCGCGCGCGCAGCTCGGTGGCGGAGGGCTCGGGCAGCGCGGGCGCGGGCCACGCCGCCTCGTCGCGCTCGCCCGCGGGGATCAGGTCGGGCACGTCCGCTATGGCGCCGCGCATCGTCTTCGGGCTGTCTTCTTCCGAACTATTCTTACGCTTCAATATGCCGAGCGTAGGTTTCATCCTCTGCTCCAGAGTCTTTACCTCGACTACGAAGGTCTTAGGTTCGGTGCCCAGGTCGACGGCCTGTCGGGATTGCTCCTGATCATCGGAGTCGGTGAGAGACTCATTTTCGGTATCGTCGATGATCTCGACTGTCTCCACAGTTTGCGGTATGAACTCGACGACGGCGTCGATCGCTTCGAACGGGTATATCTCGACGGGCTCGATGGGGCTGACGGTGGACTTCACGATCTCGTGCTCCTTGACCGCGACCACGTGGCAGGGGTCCGCCTGCGGGGCGGCGGCCGCGGCCGGGGCCGACGCGAGGATCTTATCTTTAGAGATCTGTGTGAAGAGGTCGCTGTCCGTCAACAAATTGAACGTGCTGCTGTTCTGGTGAGGAGTAGAGGGCGTATGCGGAGTAGAAGGCGTCGAAGGCCTGTCCGCCGGCTCGGGGGCGTCGGGGGGCGGGGGCGGAGGCTCAATGGAATCGGTTGACATGGCGCTGCAGTCAGATGCGGGGCTCTCCGACACCCGCTTCCCTCTATCCAGTGAGGAGCCTCTGCTCCTGTGCCCGCCTTCTTTGATTTCTCTTCTGATGGGTACGGGGCTCTTTAAGGCCAAGGGTATCTTAGACTTTTTCAGTTCGGGTTTTTCAGTTTCCGGAGTATTAACCGGACTCTCTAGCCGCCTTTTGATAGTGTCTGTAACATTCTCGTACTCGACAACGGCGGCGCCGTCCGTGAGTGCTTGCGCGGCGGCCTGCAAGCACAAACCGCGGCGGCTTTAGTCTCCATACCAACGTTAATGTGTTACAAGCCACACTGTTATTTACAGGTTAGTCAGACTGCGGCGCGTCCCGACATGTCGCCCAGCTGATGAGATGCGTGATACAAGCATGATCCCGCGCAAGCTGCAGGGGCCGGGGCCGGGGCCGGGGCAGGGGCCGGGGCCGGGGCCGGGGCCGGGGCCGGGGCCGGGGCCGGGGCCGGGGCCGGGGCCGGGGCCGGGGCCGGGGCCGGGGCCGGGGCCGGGGCCGGGGCCAGGGCTGGGCCGCAGTGCCGCCACACCCCAAGCAGACACACGTGGACACCGACACCACCAGATATGTACATGTTTACAGTCCGCACGACCTCGCCTCTCACAATTAGTTGGTTATAGGAAACGGTGGAATACTTACAATACGAGTAATGAACACCAATGTATCTATGAATCACTTACCGTGGCGAATGAAGCGACTACGTGCAAATAATGTTCAGTGAATCGACAAGCACAATGTGGAGTGACTGACACCGCAGACACCAAGACAAGACCTCGACGTGCGAGGCACAGACTCGAGTAGTAGGCCAGCAGTACGAGTACAAATATGAGTAGGAGTGGCCGGGGCTTACCTCGGGCTTGTCAGCGGAGGGCCGGGGCGCGGGAGGAGGGCCCGGCCCGTGCTTCTTCAAGTGGTCCCAGCGCGCGTTGATGCCGTCGATCTGCTCGCGCAGCTTGTCGGCGTACATGGGGTCGCAGGTGCTGGCGAAGTTGGTGTAGTTGGCGTTAAGCTTGTCCTTGATGGCCTCCATGCGGGACATCTCCAGCTCCAGCGTCTGCTTGCCGATGCCGGCGCCGAGCCCGTCCAGCCAGCCCGTGAGCGCCTGCAGGTCGCTCTGTATCTCGCGCGCCGTCAGCAGCGCGTACTCCAGCCGCGACTTGGACTCCGTGATCTGTGCGCCCAGCTTGTTGTACAACTCCTTCAACATGTCGATCTTCTTGGAGAACTCCTGCGGCTCGGGGACCGCCTTGTCTTCCACCATCTTGCGCCCGGTCTTGATGATCGACTCCACTTCCGACTTGATCTCGCTGAGGGTCCGGTAAAACCTCTGTCGATAAAACGATACCAAGGTCAGCTATGGACAATACATCTATTTTAGTTACATGTATTGATTTCACTGGTGGGCGTTACTAGGTTTACTCACGAACCATTTGTGAAAAGCAAGACTCAATATAACAAGTAAATAAATCGCGTCCCAAGACATGAGGCCAGAGCGCGGGTGGCTACAGTCCCGACACAGTACGGCGGCGCCGGCCCGCGATGTACTACGCGCGCTGCGCTCAGCGGTGCTCACTATTGTTTACGTGCAGCTACAGTGTATCATTCTTTCTGCATTTTTAAACAAATAAATATAAAACAGTCACGACGTGGAAGTATTCTTTACACTTTCAAGGATAGCTGCGTTGTTCAATATAGAGGCGTCCTGAATGAATGAGACTATTTATTAAGTTGAGCGAGTCCAGAGCGGACGTCGCATCGTACATCGTGGAACTCACAAATACAATGACAGAATCCTTTCAAAAGGCGGCGGCACGCAACCCGGGACCTGCCTACTCTGCACTATGTATACGGCGGCAGTGAAGCCCACGCTCACTCGACCGTTGTTCGTGTTGCAACACTATCGAATTGATCATTTTGCTAAACCAGAGCCAACCTCACAATATCAGAATAAGTTTATGTTTTCATACGTTAACACTCGAGAATGATAAACCTAACTGAGGCGTTTAATAACTATTTATACAGTGCACATTTTTATTTTGGACATTCCCCAATTTGGCCGCATACTAAAAATAGTACGATAGCTAAATGTTCAACCAACAGAAACAAAATAACATTAATTAATAATAATATATGTAGCAATGCGAGTCTTTCCGAGTGATATGTACTTTCTAGATTGTTTAGATACCGCTGAAATATGGTAAGGGTGTGGTGTGAGTATATGCATGTTAGTGTGTAAGTATGTGTAAGATTATAGTAAGCATCATTATTGTGGAAAGTACTCAGTAATAAATGGATCGTGACGCTAAACAGTAGTTTGTCATTTGACACCCCTTAGTCCCGGGATACTACATGGCGACCCTGCCAGTGCGCGTTAAATAATAACTATGGGGAAACAATGCTCGAAATGTGCCTGTGAGAACAAAGAAGTTATCATAAATCAACACGGTGGTGGAGAAGCAAGTGCGACTGCTGATGCGTCCACGCACTTACAGACCAACAATATTATATTTTCTGTTTTCCTGGCAATCGTTGCTGCGTTTATTCTGTACATACTATTCAAGCAGTACAGAAACTGTCACTTGGCTATGGTGCGGAACCAGCTCAGAGAGGATGCATTCCGGCGGATCAGGATGAGGCTGTCTGGAGCACGGAGGAGTCAGAACGAGAGAGACGGTGATCAGGAAGCAGGACCTCGGGACATGTAATGACTTCGACTTCGGTTCGCATCAATTTTTTTTTCTCTTTCTATTGTTTCTTTAGTAGTAATTAAGTCACATGTTCGACTACGTATATATTTTAGTTTTAAATGTGTTAAGTTAGAAATGTAATAAGCATCTAAACATTTTACAGTTATCAGATGGCTAATGATTTAATATCTATCTTAAACGAACTTGAAAAGATAAAGGTATCTTTAAGAAAGTTGGGTCCCAGTAAGCGGGAACTGAATGTTAATTACATTAAAAGAAAATTTTTAGATGCAGAAAAATTATATAGTGAAAATAAAACTCTTTGTAAGTTAATTTTAGAGGAAAAGTTGTTTACTAAAGAATTTACGGAGATATTTTTCTTAGATATAATAAGTAGGATAGAAGATACATTTAGCAAAATAAAAACTTATTGTGTAAGTTCCGAACAGACTACTAAAATGGAGAAATTTAATTTGAAAACTGCCGCTAGTTTAGTGCCGGTTATGGACAGTACAGAGGAAAGCGTTGAAAAAATTATCGATAGCGTAGAACTATATGATTGTTGTCTCACGGAGACCAGTTGCAAAAAATTACTTGCTTCTTTTGTATTAAAAACTAGGTTAACTAAAACCGCCAAACTTAAACTTAAGCGAGATTACGATTCTTGCACGGATTTGATTAAGGATATGAAGTTGTTTTTATTAACAAAGAAATCTTCTAATTCTTTAATGACTCAACTAAATAGTATACGCCAAAATGACTTGTCAATTGCGGATTTTGGTTCTAAGCTCGAAGAACTCTTTACTGATTTAACTATATCGCAAGCTAAATCGAATAATGAAGCGTTTGAAATTTTACGACCTATTAATGAGGAACTGGCAGTTAAGAAATTTGCCGACGGGTTACGTAACAGGAGGTTAAGCACTATTATTGCAGCACGCAATTACACCGACCTGAAGGACGCGGTGCGAGCAGCCCTGGACGAGGAGTTATCTCAACCCCAACCAACGACCTCAAACTCGATCCTAAATATTCGAGGTAAGTCACATACATTACAATTGCGTGGCCGGGGAAATTATCATTTTAGATCCCAATCGGGTTTTCGCGGTAATTTCAGCCAGAATAGAGGTAACAATAATTCTTATGCTAACAGGAATCGTACATTTCAGTACAATAATTTCGCATTTCGTGGAAGACAATCTCGTGGTTTTCGCACGCGACCAAATCGCGGTCGAGTTGTTTACAATAGTAGAGGCCAACAACAAATAAACGTTGCAAAAACGGATACAACTAAATCTGAGGGTACGGAAGGTTCGACTGATAATCAGGAAAATAATAATAATCAGTTTTTTCGATCCCAACAGTCCTAATATTTTAACATGTGACGTAAGCAGTGCTAATTATGTAACATTATATTTAAACGAGAACAGGTGTTCGTGGCTTTTAGATACGGGTGCGACCTTATCAGCCGTGAGTAGCTCTGTATTAGGAGATCAATTACATGTTTATGAAGATAGGATTACTATAAACGGGATAGGCGGAAAGTGTTCTTCAAAAGGTTATGTTTATCTTACTTTAAGAACTGTTGACAATTTTACTTTCCAACATAAGTTTTATGTATTTGAAAAATTACCTTGTAAGTCAGAAGGTATTTTGGGACAAGATTTCTTAGATCAATTTAGTTCAATTACTTTTGACTTAGAAAAATCTTTATTAAAACTCACTGTTGGTGACAAAAAAATATTTTTGCCGTTATATAGAATACCTCAAATAAGTAATTCATCGTTACATATACCAGCTCGTTGCGAATCTGTTCATTATATAAAATTAGATTCAGATATAACACAAGACTGTGTTATACTACCAAAACAATTACATACAGATGTATTATTGGCAAGCTTAATAGTTAGACCTCAAAATAAAATTATTCCTATTCGAATACTTAATTCTAGCGATAAAAATATTACTTTACCTATTTTTAAACCAGAGTTAGATTTGCTAAGCAACTATGAAATTTGCGCATTTGAGAAATGTGAGTCCGGTTCCCAGCGCGCTAAGTTATTGTTATCGTTATTGAAATTGGATCATTTAGATTCTACGGAAAGACAAACAATAGAATCCATTTGTGTAAAGTACGCCGATGTATTCCAATTACCATGGGAAAAATTAACTACTACACCGATATGTGAACAGTCTATCGCCTTGAAACCTGATTCTAAACCTATTTATACTAAACCTTATCGTATACCTTTTAGTCAGAAAACTGAAGTTGAAAAGCAAATCAAAAAAATGTTACAAGATGATATTATTGAAAAATCGCAAAGTGAATGGTCTAGTCCTATTCTTTTAGTTCCCAAAAAGACAGATGGTGAGAACAAAAGTTGGAGGTTGGTTGTGGATTATCGTAAGCTAAATTCAACTATACAGGACGATAAGTTTCCACTTCCAAATATTACCGAAATATTGGACTCGCTATCAGGTGCTGTTTACTACACACATTTAGATTTATCTCAAAGTTATTATCAGGTGCGACTAACGTCAAAAGATGATAGTCGTAAAATTACAGCATTTACGACTAATACTGGCCAATACCAAATGAAAAGACTACCTATGGGTTTGAAAATAAGCCCTAGTGCTTTTTCACGGGTCATGACTGTTGCAATGTCCGGCCTTACGTTTGATAAATGTATTATTTATTGCGATGACCTTGTTGTTTTTGGACGTAATATATCACAACATAATAAAAACTTAATTGATGTCCTTGAGAGGTTAAGATTAGTCAATTTGAAATTAAACCCCAACAAGTGTCAATTTTTAAAAACGGAAATGTTATATCTCGGTCATACGATATCTAAGGATGGTGTTTTGCCAGATCCTGATAAAATTAGAGTAATTAAAAATTATCCTTTGCCAAAAAATTCTGACGAAGTTAGGCGATTTGTAGCATTTAGTAATTACTATAGAAAGTTCATTAAAAATTTTGCGGAGATAACAGAGCCACTAAATAAACTTTGTCGGAAGAATGTACCCTTTGTATGGACTGAAAATTGTGATCAGTCATTTCAATTTCTAAAACAAGCTTTATCATCGCCGCCTATACTTCAATATCCAGACTTTTCACCTAACAGCGAATTTATTTTGCAAACTGACGCCTCAGGTATTGCGATAAGTGCAATTCTTTGTAATAAAGATTTGCGCCCAGTAGCTTACGCAAGTCGACCATTAAATAAATCGGAACGTAATTACCCTACTATCCAAAAGGAACTTCTAGCTATCGTTTGGGGTGTAAAATACTTTCGCCCATATTTGTTTGGAAAATCATTTACGATAATGACAGACCACAAACCGTTAGTATATTTATTTGGAATTAAAGATCCTAGTAGTAGACTTTTAAAATTTCGATTGGCTCTTGATGAATACGATTACAAGATAGTTTATGTGCAAGGTAAAAATAATCCTGCAGCGGACGCGTTATCTCGAATAGTAATTACGTCAGAGGATTTGAAAGCGATGAATGAACAAATTATGACTGTTATGACGCGAGCACAAAAGAGGAGAATGGAAGAAAGTGATAGGATTGATATTGGATCCCCCAATGTATGCACAGACGAGCGGCCTGCGCACCCGCAAGTCGTGGAGA